TTTTTTACGACCTAAGGGCTTTTGCAAGGGAAAACTTTTCAGCAATTTTCAAACTTAAGTAACTGGCTTTTATATTCGTTAAGAGTATTTATTATGCCATTCTATGCAACATTTGATGACTCGTTATTAAGCTAAAAACTTATTGGCATTCATGGAAAATTTGAAATGATTTAAAGGAGCAAGTTTATGGACATGGCAAATTGGACAATGCAGTGCTTAATGCGTGGCATTTGAAACTTTTGCATAACATGAAACTTTGCCCCCCTTCCTCCCTTTCCTCTCTCTCTCTCTCTCTCTCTCTCCCTCTCTCTCCCCCTTCTCTCTGTCTCTCTCTCTCTCTCTCTTGCAGTGCCCATACCCATTTGCAATGCGACAGGTCGCAAATCTCTGTGTCGTGGTCCATAAATCTTCGAGTTCGTGCGCCCAGCCACATGAAAAATTATACGAACTGTGAAACAAACTGACCAGAGAAAAAATAGCTTGGAGGTACCAAAAATGATTTACCCTTGCAGTAAAAACTAGTGATATCACAATATTTTAATCTTGCAGAAATGTCAAGCTTAAAGCATTTGAAAGTTTCATATTTTCATGCTAAATAGAACATGAAAGAATTTTAATAAGAGTATAAAGTACTTATTATTGAATAAATGAGAGACAAATGTTATCTAACCCTATCTCAGCTAAAAAATTTTAAAACAAATAGTATAGAGAAGAAATAGGGGACACTTTTGATATAGCTCAATTTTCGAGCAATTTGATCTATGGTTTATTGATTGTTATGAATTTGAGTACCTTAATCCGACTGTTTGCAGTCTAAATGCTTCCTTACTCAAGCAGAGAAAATAATCTACCAAAATATTTCAAAATTGTTATATACTAAATATTTTTTATAGAGTCTTTAACGCGTTCATTACTAAAGTGGAAAACCCTTTGATAGGGTATCTAAATGACTTGAATTTCAGTTGGGCAAACTGCCAGGGCGACAATGGCGACGTTGTGGCCAGCAGTTTTTTTCCGCATGTCGTGCACAAAAAGACCTCCAGATTTTTAATGCAAACTGATATTTAAAAAAACTGCAAAATGAACTTTAATTCATTTGCAGCACAAGCATGTTATTTTATATTTAAATAAAATTTTTCAAAGAAAATTGAATTGATTGAACCCATAAATTACGTTAATCTTGGGCCTAGGCCTCGAGCAGCTTGCAGATGAGACCCTCATGAGCTGACAGTGTTAAGGCGCTGCTGGGAAGGGTTTGTCTGTGGAGGGAAGCAAATGCAGGACAGATATGTGGTAGATATTTTATATGTAATATAAAGCAACATTTAACTTACCCAGGCGCATAGACTGAATCCACACCTGCCACTTCCACAACCAATTTTTGAGGCCGATTGATAAAGTCTGTTAGATTTACCAACTGCTCCTTAGCGCTCACATTGATGATGGTTACGAGTGTGTTGTAGTCCTTCAGGGTACTAAATAGCCAGCAAACGGTTAATGATTAATAGAGAAAAATGTAATATAGAAAAAGGGACAATTACCGCTTAAAGGCGAAAACTGCCCGGGATAGCGGCTCTATGCTAAACCTTCCACGTCTCAAAACCGGCAACTTGCGTAGCTCAATCAGCGATTTGTAGACTTTGTAATGGCTTTTGACGGCTTGCTTTTGCGCTTCAAGATTCAACACCAGATAGTTGGGATTTACAGGTAGCCATGTCTTGGCAGCAGTGGAGAAGCCTAAGGAAAAGTTTTATATATTTAGATAAAAGATGTTACCAAAGGTTACTATAGTAGAGGAAAAGATAAATAATACACTTCAACTTACCAGCATTGGTAGCATTGTTCCACTGAAAGGGTGTACGCACCGGATCTCTGGATTCCTTCATATAGTCCAGTTTGCCAGCATTGCGCGCTGGTGGATCCACTGTGTCCTCCCAACTGATTTCCCGATAGTCCTGCATGCCCAGTTCCTCACCCTACAACAAATATAATTCAAACAGATTAGTCTGCTGACCTTTCAAATACGCCCATACCCACATTATAGGTAACAGCGACGCCCGGAAGTGTCAGCAGCAACATGTTCATGGCATCGACACTGGTGGGGCCAAAACGCGTGGCGACACGCGGTTTATCGTGGTTGCCCATGACCCAATTGGCAGTGTGCCCACGAGGCATGTAGATCAGCCACTTCTCTATATTGTATACAAAGTCACGGGCATCCGAATTTTCGTTCACATCCGTGATAAAGTGAAAATTGAAGGGCAATTGGGAACCGCGCACTCCGCCGGCATCCTCATAGTAATCCATGAGCACCTGCAAGCCGGCATATGCCTCAGTCATCATAATGCGCGTGGCACCTTCCGAGTGTTTGTCGGTGTAATCGTCCAACAGCTGCCGCCAGTGCTGCACCATGGTCAAAACCTCAGGTAAATCTTTGGTGTAGATGTGCTGCGTATAGTCGTAGGAGAGTGGATCTGTAGTCTTGCCGTTAAGGGGCTCATCGGGCAGGGCTTCATCTTCGAACAAATGATTCAGTGCGTCAATGCGAAAACCAGCCACACCTTTATTAAGCCAGAACAGCAAAACATCATCCATAGCGCGCACCACGGCCGGGTTGCGAAAGTTAAGATCTGGCTGTTCCTTGGTGAACTGGTGCAAATAGTACTGCTCTCGTTGCTCATGCCACTGCCAGGCGGAGCCATAGAACACTGACTGCCAATTATTTGGTGGCTGTCGCACACCCTGATTATCCAGTTTCCCATCTGCCCATATATAAAAATTGTCATACAAAGGATCCCGAGCCGCTGACTTTATGAACCACTCGTGCTGATCCGAGGTGTGATTGGGCACAAAGTCCAAGATTATCTTGATGCCCAGACTGGTAGCCGTGTTCACTAGCTGCTCAAAGTCGGTCATACTCCCATACTCCGGCTGTATAGACTTATAGTCGGATATATCATAGCCAAAGTCCACCATGGGTGACTGGAAAATGGGACTTAGCCAGGTTGCAGTAATGCCTGTTTCAGCTAGATACGGCAGCTTGAAGATTACACCCTGCAAGTCGCCAATGCCATCGCCGTTACTGTCCTTAAAGGATCTGGGATAGATCTGGTAGAAGACCGCATGCTGCCACCAGTCGATGAAATCTTCCGTTTGAGCGCTCAACAGACTGGACATGACCGGGCTAGGCGCCTGTGTCCACAGCAGGCTGCAAAGTAGAAGCAGTTGGGTTGTTCGGGTTAACTGATGCGCTGCTGCCATGGTGCAAGAGGTTTGTAGCTGCGGCAGCGACTGTAGCCGCGAATCGGATTCAGTTCTGTTTTAAAGGGTTAATTCCAAATTGCTAGCGGTGTAATTATTATAATTTTAACATTATTAACTCTTAATAAAGCAGCTCTGATTATTTATAATTGTATATGGAAACGACTCACGACAAATAAAATCAAATTACAAACATATAAAAACAAATATAAGTATATGTCGGTGTAAACCCAATTTAACGCTATAAAATAAATATACTTATGCATTAAAAAGGTTACTTTTACAGAAAATAATATTATTTGCTTTCATTTCTATTCACTGCAGACTATTATTTTCCCCCTCATTTTTGTAAGCAGAGGCTGAAAAATCATTTGCCTGATCTTTAAGTTGATGCTTCTTGAAGCTCGCTCACTCCTTATCTCTCTATCTACCTCTATACACAATCAATTGATAACAATCACGTCTGCTGTGCCCGCTACTCACACTCTTTACCTACCTCAAAAGGTTTGCCAACAAAAATAAGAACGTAAACAAATAACAAAACTTTAATGCTGCTCGGAACACGTCACTTCGCCCACAGCCCCCGTGATCAACTGAAAACTGAGAGAGCAGCTGGCAGCGCAGCCAATAAATTTGCACAAGCTTACGCTCCACTTGGAATCCACAGCAGTACTCACAGCATCCACAAAGGCAGGCTGCAAATCAATATAGTTCTTAAAGCCGAAGTGGCCGACTAAGAAATGCCCTGTAACCAGTATTGAACTGCCGTTCCAGACACTCTTCTATATCGACTATATCGACACTCCAACTTGCCTCAATAGTTGACTCAGCCTACTTGCCGAATTTGGTATCTAAGGGAAGAGCTCTTAAATAGACGTGCTCATAAAGTGGCCCTAAATTATAATTATTATCTAGTTCTTTCGGTCTCTGATATTACACGAGCTCTAATATACGGACAGACGAGCAGACGGACAAACAGACGGACATGGCTAGATATACTCAGATCTTCGACCTGATCACGAATAAATTTACTTTATGTAGTCCAAAAAGTTTGCTCTACCTTTGCAAACATTTGCCCATCAGCATTATACTATTTATATTTATGCAATTTCGAAGGGCTTTTAATTAAACTCAACGACAATTTATCTACCGCTGCCCAGAAGCGTTGACAGTTATGAAATATTTTGGAGAAAGTGCGACGACAGCAACGACAAACGACACACAGCACGTACAAGGCGGGGGAGGAGGTTGGGGGCCACAACAAGTATTCACAATTCAATTAAAACGTGCAAAACGCTTTTAAGTGTAAATAGGCAATGGGAATATAATTAAATGGAAATTCAAATTAATTCCAACGATGAGTATTTAAAATTATAAATATTGCTCGAATAGCAGTTGATGTCATTAAACATGAAATTTTCCAATGCGTGCTTTTGCAAAAATTGTTCGACTTAAAGAAGCTGAGAGTTTCGCTTTTACGACTACATCAAGGTATAAGCAACCAGAGTGGGAAGAGCCTCCCTCCCCGATAATATCGGAGAATAGAAAAGCAATTTGCCTTAATACCATTTCCTTTTGTCAATTTTAGTTTCAAGGTATCTTTAACAAGAAACCCTAATTGTTGTAGAATTTGAAACTCTATCTTATTTTATATCTTAAAAATCTAGTCCTTTGGTCTACATCAAGCAATACAATCAGTATTACTTCTACCCATAAATCAATTTTCTTATACATATGTATATATTTTATTTTTTGCTTTTATCATATTTTCCAAATCACTTTTGGCAATCAGAAGAAGTAGAATAATAATGTTATCAGGTTCCGATTATGTTTTGGCAATTCCTTATAGTATAATAAACGATATATTTAACTACTTGCGAGCTTTGAGCTGTATAACCAGGCCCTCATAGGGCGACAGTTTGACCTCGGCTGGATTAACCCGGTCGCGCATTCTGTGCTGGGAGCAGACGCCCACAACCAACAACGTAAGATGATTGGGCAAATCGATAAAGTTACTGACATCGACTTGCTGGGTGCGATTGCTCACATTTATGACAGTTAGCAGACTGGGCTGACCTCTCAGCTCGCTGGAAACACAACGATAATATAAAAGATGTTTGCTCAATTGAAAAAAAAAGCGAATCACTCACCGCTTGAGAGCGAAAACCTGTCGATTAAGGGCCTGGGCTGTAAATGTGCCATCTCGCAGGACTCGCGATTGTCTCAGCTTGATCAGCGATTGATAGACCTTATAATGGCTGTGAGTAGCCTGCTGCTGGGCGCGCAGATTAAGCTCCTGATAATTCGGATTCACTGGCAGCCAAGTGGAATTGCCCGTGGAGAAACCAGCATTCTTCTCATCACTCCACTGCATTGGCGTACGTTCGGGGTCGCGAGAGACCCACTTGTAATTATCGAGACCAGCAATACAGGCGGGTTGATCCACCGTATCGTTCCAGCTAATGTCACGATAGTCTACCATGCCGAGCTCCTCGCCCTGAAGGAGAAACCTCGATGTAGAGCCACAGAGCAGAACACATTTACACTTACATAGTAGGTGATGCCGATACCCGGCAAAGTCATCATCAGCATATTCATAGCATCCACAGTCTTAACGCCATATCGCGATGCAACGCGCGGATTATCATGATTGCCCATCACCCAGTTGGCTGAGTGTCCAGGCGGCATATAGATCAGCCATCTTTGAATGAAGTATACGAAGTCCTGAGCCGTAGAATCTGCATTCAGCTCGGTAATAAAGTCAAAATTAAAGGGAAAGTGGGCGCCCTGGGCGCCGTGTTCATCTTCATAGTAGTTCATTAGCAGCGATAGATCCGCATAGCCCTCGGTCATCATAATGCGCACTGGTCCCGGATTATTAGCCGTGTAGTTGTCCAACAGCTGACGCCAATGCTGAATGAGCCCATAGCATTCAGGTTGGTTCCTTGTGTAGATGTGCTCCAGATAATCAACTGAGTTCGGATCACTGGTGGAACCGCTCAAGGGCTCGTCACGCAACTGCTCGTCCTCATATACATAGATAACGGCATCGATGCGAAAGCCAGCCACGCCCTTTTGCAGCCAGTACAACAAAACTTCATCCATGGCCTGCACCACGGCAGGATTACGATAGTTTAAGTCGGGCTGTCCCTTGGTAAACTGACGCAGATAGAATTGTTTTCGCTCCTCGTGCCACTGCCATGCGGAGCCGGAGAATACAGATACCCAGTTGTTTGGCGGTACGCGAGTGTCATTGTCCGAGACTGTGCCGTCCTCCCACACATAGAAATCCTCGTAGCCAGACTCTCTAGCAACGGACTTCTTAAACCATTCATGTTCGTCAGAGCTGTGATTGGGCACAAAGTCCAAAATGACCTTGATGCCCAGTTGATTGGCTTTTGCGATCAGGTCATCAAAGTCCTCCAGTGTGCCGTACTCCGGTTGGATGTCCCTGTAGTCGGATATATCGTACCCAAAGTCAACCATGGGGGACTTGTAAATGGGACTCAGCCAGATGGCTGTGATGCCAGTGTCCACAAAGTACTGCAGCTTGGAGGTGATGCCCTTAAGATCACCAATGCCATCGCCATTGCTGTCCTTAAAGGACCTGGGATAGATCTGATAAAAGACCTCGTGTCGCCACCAATTAATATTGTCGTCCAGCTCGTTTGGCTTATGCTTTTTGGATTCTGCTCGTGAAAAAGCCGCAGAAAGGAGCCAACATAGGCCCAAAACTAAGCTCCATTTTAGACTCATCTTAACCCGTTGAAGTTGTAACTATGCACTGTTTGCATCCATACAGTCTGAACGACCTTTTATAGCCGCCGTCTTTGTTTACTAGCACGGAATTCCGGTTTAATTATTTACTTTAGATTATGTCAACTCAAATATTTTCCCAATTGGTCAGTGAACAGTGAACACGTCTTACATGTAGATACAAAACAATTTCATTTTGGTTTTACAATGAGAAGAGCCCAACTGACCAAGCAGTGGAAAATTAAATACATTTGACATAGAATGGGAGATTGGCGAGCTGCAAACATTAAAGTTCTGGACTGGGACAACAGCTGAGAGGAATATTAATTAATTATTTCTCTGTTTGTTCTGTTCTTGTGAATGAGAACATGAACACAGCTCAAAAAGTAGAAAAAAAAAAAGTAAACCAGTTCCGCTCAGGCACAGCTCTAAGTTAATAATTACATTTGACAAAAATAAATAACAAGTTGTAGAGAAAGTTTTTTGCTGCCCTGCACAGAGCACACTCAGTTTGAGTTTAATCAATTATTTAACATTTTAGTTGCAATCCTGTTTTACATATTATTGCTGTGGTTGCAATTAAAATCTAACTGCATTTGCTTATAGTTTCAAAGAAAACGCAGTCGGGCAACTTTTCCATAAATATTATATGAGTGGGATTTTTCCTTTAAAGCTCTCCGAGTACGTCAAGCTCTAAAAGTAATGAATAAAACTTGCTCAAATAGGCAGGGGTAAATGACAACATTTTTTGGCCAAATTACTTGATCCCCTCCTAGTTGGTATGACTACCTTATAATTTATTATCGTCACTAATTCTATTTTATTACATTTCAAGATTTTGCTTCCAATAAAATTCGAGTATGTATACAAAATTAAATTTCCTATGCCCAGTAGTTTATTAAAATGTTCTTTTCATCTATCAGGAAATTCTTAGTTTAAGTGCTTAAAAGCAAAATTCTTCTTGATGTGAGCTGTAAATAGCTTGCACGCAAAATTAAATTAATTTAAACCAAAAGTAATTTGAATTTGGGCAACATTTAAACAATGTTCGAATAAACAAATCTTAAGATATTCCTGTTTTGAAAGCTCGATTTCTAAACTCAGTTAATCAGACACTGAGCCTAATTCAAGAGTAATGAGAAGCCTAATCCCAAAACAGTTTCTATTTAGACGACAAAACTTGCTTTATGATTGCATGTATTATTAAATACTTAGTAAGCATCTTCACTTACTTAACCTCTTTACGCCAAGCTACACGATATCCTTGAATATATATATATATATATATTTGAACATATTTGAATATACCTTAGCACTGCTATGCGTACTTTTGATTATAACTCAGCAGTTTTTTTTTTATTTAACTTGACTTCGATTTGAATTTCCATTTTATTTCTTACAAATTATTCTTTTTTATTGTTGTCCATGTATTTGAACATGATGCTGCATTCATTGTAGTTGAGCTTTTTCCCTTGTTTCGGAAAATGGCCAGGAACTTCAGCCACCTTAGAAAGTTTTTATAATTTGCTATTTTTTTATCTGATTGTTTGTCATCCTGTCACGTTGCCTTTCGCATATCTCTGGCCACTTAGCACGTTGCATTTCCATTTTGTACACTTTCCACCGCGAACTTCCGTTGCGTGGCGGTGCACAAAAGTGAAACCCGCTTCCAGCAGCCACTCGGATACAAAACAACGGACGTGCTAAGGGTAGCGTGTCATTTTGCTTTGCCGCACCGACCTCTTTGTTCAAATATGGCTTCTGGTTGGTTAATTAAAACATTTGCAACATTGTAATTAAGCTGCTGTGGCCTGCATGATATACTAGGTGCACGGCCGGGCACACCGAGAACATGCTTTACGGGAATATGAGAACGTGATCGTCCTGTGCTGTTAAGAGACTGTGCGAACGAAAAACATAAAATATATATTTATTTATTTATTTAAAATAACCAACTTAACCGAGGCTAACCCGGCGTCAAGTGCACGATTTTTGTTTGCAACTTATTGAATTCCGTTGAAAACCGGAGATGCAACATGAAAAGGGTTTGACATTTGATTGGGGAGAAAAAGGTGGCGTGGCTCAAGTGTTTTTGCACTTGTGTCTGTGCCCTGATTTTCATACAGCTTGATATACTTTTCGCGTCAAGTTTGAATTATGGCGCGCAAAAAAGTTTTTCGTCGAGAGCAACTGCAAAACCTACTAATCCGCCCTGTCGCCTGTCCGTCCGTCCGTCTGCCTGTCTGTCTGTCAGGCAGTGTTTGCCACCTAACCGTTGGGCGACGTCAGGACGAAGACCGAGGCTTACCTTTCATTTTCAGGTCGTACACTGATTGAATTGCGTCGCAAAACAGCAAAACAACGCCTAAATTCGTTGTATACGTTGGTCGGACTCGCCAAGGCATCTTTGGGCCACTTTTCAATTTTGGGGCGGTCCCAGCGGCAGCCGCCACGGCCGCAGCCACATGAATAAATAGCAGCCTACGAGTACATATTTTAATATGTAAATATTTAATAATATCAAAGCGGTGCGAGCTTGGCATATTAAAAAAACAGACAAAACCAACAGCAAAAAAGAAGCGGACTCTGATTAATGCGCGCGGGGATTTGATTCAAATTTAATGCACGCTCTCAAAACATATGGTTAGGATTATATTTATCTAACCTTGCAATGGGTTTTGTAGTTCTGTCGATTTACGGAAATAGCATTGCAAGAAACGTCTTCGACGGCAAAAAGCTTTTATTTTATTGGCCAGCAACTCAGTTAATATAGTCTGCATGATTCGCTGCAAGCAAGTATATTACTTATGCTGACTACTATCCTTTTAAATTATTTAAATTTATATATATGTGATACATTTAAGACAGTTTTACTTGATTAGCTGATGGGAGGTGTCGTTAATAAAAAGATTAAACTTCTTTAGTAAGAAATTAAGCAATAAGATACGATAATTGATAATTCGATCATTTAACCAGGCAATGCCGGGTACTACCTGTAAGTCTTTTTCAAGTTGAATCATCTTGCGTAATGCTGATCAAAATGGAAAGTGGACGGATTCCGCCTCCACATGTACAACAATATAAAATCTCCAAAAGTTACCAAAGATTTAGATAACAATATGTTGCTATAAACAATAAAAACGTCTATCTTCGAAACGCTGAAGATTAACCACCCTTGACATAATTAAACTAATAAACGCCGATAAACTAAAGAACAACAAGTTAATAATTAATTTTGAGCCGAAACATTAATATGATAAAGAATTATGAGATCGATCAGAACATATGTAACATAAGGAGCAGAGTTAAACCAATAAGTCCCCAGTTTGATCAATATAGCTTTATAAAATTAAGTGTCGATCGATATTTCCTATGGCAACTATATGATATAATTGCCATATCATACAAAAACGAAGTATATCGAATGCTGGCTTGAAATTCAGTTGTCTATTTAAAGATAAAATCTGAAGATGATTGCGTATATCAGTCATATGGCTGCAAGGGTATTTAATCGTCTGCACACCAAAAGACAATTGTATATTCGTGTTTTTCTTTTTTTCATACCTGTTTACTCGCATTTTGTTCAGGTCTGACGACCCTTGAGCGTCAGCAAATTGGTTCAGTTCCATTCAGGACACACGGCAGATACGTGTTTCTGATTGCTATTTGCGTTGCCATTTGATGTGAATACGTTTACGCTTATCAAATACTTGTTATCAAAATCGATTACAACAACAAACACGAGCTTGCTTTGTTGTCAGTCGTAGAGATTGGCAATGTGTAATGTAGGGCTATGTGCATATATAACGAAAAGGGCTATACTAAGCTCCTATTTATTAGTTGGCCATGGAAGTATTTAGGTAGCTTTTGCTTTTAATTGCACGCTGTATACCTCGATGACATACCTCTAATCTACGTATCGTGTTTCTAATATAAGACTCTTCAGCTCAACACATATTATTGAAATCTTAAAGCTTATATAAAATCCTTGAGATAAGGCCAAGCGCACACAATTGCAAATAAGAGCCTTAAAAGCTGCAAATAAAATAATATTTATTTTTCTAACCTTCCTTTATTAGAGGAATAAATGTTTACTAATAGACTTCATGTACATATGTGTATCAAAAGCATATCTAAGTTATAATCCTATTTTAATGTAATCCAAAAAGTAGGCAGCATAAAATTTGAATGAATTACTACTTGAGATAAAATACGAAGTCAAGATAGAAAGCTATCTCATATTGTCGCATATTAGATGCACTTACTTCTAAGGTAGGCAAATAGAGGTCAGATATGTTACAGGTACAATTTTTTTAAACTGAAAATTTAAACTTAACAATCAAAAAACCTTTTCAACAGAAAAAGCCTGCTATGTCTGCTCGCTAAGACGTGGTTTTAGAAAATTCCAATTTCCTAGTGAGGAAATGGGTCAGAAACGGTTGAATGGGAAGTTTTTGCCAACCGTCTGATCGGGGTTCAACCTAATTTTGCACGCTTTTTGGAAAATCTACCTCTTAGGTGAAAAATGGAGGTTGCATGAGTGAAAGTTATATTCCCATTCGATCGATTTTAAAAATTTTAATATCTAAACAACGAATTAGTATACGCTTCAGTGATTTTGTAAAATTTAAGAAAATAAAGTTTGGTCCGGGCAAAGCCGGGTCACACCCACTTGAATTGGGAGTTATAATAACTACATATTTTCCAACCATTAAATAGTTTTGGGCACGCTTACATAGATAGATACCAACCAGTTGCCATTCCCCGAACTGCCCTCGAGACAGCCTATTAACAGTTTTGAGCCAAATGTACATTGAGATAAAGGCGCATGTCGTCATTCCACTCAACATGGTATTATCTTTTTAATAACGCTCTCTTTATTTAACGCAGCTGACAGCTTCCTGTCATAAAACAAACGGCAGTCCCGCTGCTCAGCATGCTTCATAAATGTGCCCCACTCATATATTTGTTGTTGCCGAAAATGTTGCACGGTGGCATTTGAGTAATTTGACATTTGTGTCGCACGTATTGAGATTCAATTAACAAAAGCGTAATACAGTTCATAAATCACATCCAGAAATCAGCCCGAAATGGACACCATTCTGGAAACGCTGCAGGCGGGCGTTGTCGATTAATTATGCACAATTTGATTGATGTACGTGAGGGGAATATTTAAACGACGGCGGACAAGTCGGGGACTATCAATGACAACGAAGCGAGCTCCGACGACTTGATGACGTAGTCGTTGATACTTTTAATTAGCATTTAATGGCAATATTTGCATACTATACCATAAATCGAGTTACGCTTCGCCGCATCTCATTGAAAGTGGCAATCCGAATCATTGTAATTAAACCCGCTTCCACTTCAAGCTCATCCATCAATGCTTCCACATTGTATGTGTCAGAAACGTAATGGGTAACTGATGAGTCGGGACGATTTTATGTTATGCGATTGCGTGCCGCTGAGCTCCTTTGGTAGTTATGTATTTCTCTCATCATAATTAGCCCATTAAATAACGTTTAATCACTTATAAAGTATGGTACCTGGACAACTCAAAATTGTCCGAGTACATGAGAAACTGAAACACAAACTCAATCAAGCGCATCAACTATTTTTTTCTCATCTGAATTAGTGTAGGGGAAACAGCGTGAATAAGCTAATTTTAATGCAACAATTACAATCGGTTAGTGATAAATAAAATAACGATTAACATATGAGAAGTATTTTTATGATTTAAATATATACTTTAGCTTTTAGCCGTAATTATTCACAATGAAGATCCGTCCGCACTTTAGCAAGGCCCCATGTTCTTAATGTTGAGTTGTCGTCCCAGTTTCTTGTAATCCCGCTGCGTACACTCAAACTCACAGCGATTTGTATAGGTAACGCCATTCGAGGCGCACACCTGCCCCTTCTGCTTAAGGTCACAGGGACAAAAGCTGGCCTCGGTGTAGCCCAACCATATGGCAGCCAGTGCAAAGACGAGTAAAGCCAGCAAATTCAAAGACTTCATTTTCACTTGAGATAATTAGGCGCTGCCACCAAAACGAATGATTTCTAAAGTATCTGCGAGATGCTCCCAGAATCTGTGAGATGTGTCGCAATACGTTGCGCGTCGAGTGTTGAATTTGCACTGAGCGTCAAAAGCGAAGCAAAGCTGTTTCTGTTAAATGAAAAGAGATAGAGAGACTGAACGAGAGGGGGGAGGGGTGGCTTGGGCATGGCCAAGTACTATCTGAGTATGCGTCAGTTTTGCTAATTAGTCAACAAGCTGTTGACTATTTCGACTTCTGATTTTGTGTGTGTGTGTGTGTCTGTGTGTGTGTGTGCTTGCACTCGAAAACAAAAACATCTGTGCCACTCCCCTCGCCGGTCCCGTATATAGCAGCCCCTATTTAAACTGTGCTTGTGTTTTCTTGAAATTGTTTAGCGTTTCGTTTGCATGCGCTTTGCGCGCCTCCAGCAATTTGCACGGCTGGCAATTGATTGCCTCCGCCCTGGGCGGATCCAACCAGCTATGCAGCCAGAGCAGGAGCAGCAGCACCAGCAACAGCACATCCAAGCGGGCAGGCCAAAGGCTAGCAATGCGCATGGCTATGCCAATTTTGAAACTAAGTAGGAAAAGTTACCGTGTGCTTAGTCTGATTTCCCCAGTGACACAAAGTTCTTCCAATTGAGTGAATTACAGCTAAAGTACTTAGTTGGACAACAATAGAGTGCACAAATTGGCATACAATATAAAATAGAAAATAAAAACTATAAATATGATGGCATTTCGTTAATTAAAATTGAAGTGAGTGCCTGTGCAAATAACACCCCGAGCTGGCGAACTACTATTTTACCCCAATTACTTTTGCCACCTGCCGATTATCAAGGGCTCAGAATAATCGCCTCGCCAAGCGCTAGGCGCAGCACCTTTAAAAGGTGGCCCTGCTGATAAGAAGAGAGAGAGCGTGTGCTGATTAATACTAGAGATGGGCGCGTGTCGCGCTTTTCGTGCGTACTCACGCACGAGCAAACAAGAATCTATCTAACATAAAACGTGAAATATCAAAAATGTAGTAAGAAAGTAATTAATGCAGTCAAAACTCGTCTCACAGCGCAATTACCGATTAAATCAGAAAAAAGAGTTTGCGACTTTAGGAAACCTCTATTTTTGCATTTTGTGGAGGCGTGAGCAAAATTTTTAGTCCGAGAAATTCATAAGTAGTCTACCTGATTTAAAATCTAGATCAGAATGTGTTGGAGATATTGGAGATATATAAACGAGCACATATCACAAGTATGAAATCCTAAGCATTACTGCGTTAACCAAAGTTTGTTACCACGCAATACGCAATGGTGCGTCAATATATCGGCACGTTCCCATCTCGAAGACAAAAATAAGCACGCGAGAGAGCTTTCAAAATTCCTAATAGTTGGCAACGCGGAAAAATTTGAACGCAACAGCTTTAAAGCATTTGCAAAAGCGTGTCTGGTTGGAGCATAAACAGAACGCAACAATAAAATGAGCCAATAAATTATTAAGCATATAATATATATTTGAAAGAAAAGAGTAAGCTTAATTTTTCTATTGAATGAACCAAATACACACAAAAATAATAATATTTAAAAAAAAAAGTCAAGCTACAAAGCACGCGCGATAAGATAAGGCCCATACATAAAATCGAGCCAATGGAACTGGCCCACTCAAAACAAAAAATCACACTGCCAGTATCAATATTGAGTAGCTTGTGGATTAACCTGCACACAAAACACAATGAAATTTAATTTGCTTTTGGCTCTGTGCCTGCTTCTGGCTGCATTTGTAAGCGGCGAGCAGGAGGAGGATAAACTGGAGGTACCCAGAAGGATCTGCCCGTGCCCACGCAATTACGATCCGGTCTGTGCCAGCAATTTGATCTCCTACCCGAATCGCTGTCTATACGATTGTGCGCGTCGCGAGTTGGAGCGTGCTGGACGCAACTTGGATTTGCTAAGATCAGGAAATTGCTAAGCCGAATTCTTTCACATTTGTCAATATAAAACCATTTAAAAACATTTAAAATTTCTTCAAATAAAATAATTTTGTTCAATTGTGAATCAACTGAGCTGAATCATCAATGGGGAAATATATGTGTATATGTGTAATATTGTCGCTTATCAGTAAGCCCATTTCAAGTGCCGATTGATAGCAACAGCCTTTATCTGGCCAAAGTATAAACAGCTATAAATCAGATGACAATGCGCTCAAAGTTAAGGGTTGGCTACCGTGAACCATTGATTCCGCTTAAAATGAACTGTTTCCCCTCCAAATATATAAGAGGTTCATATGTAGGCAAAGTTAGGCTAGCATATAGAAAGTAAAAAGCATACACGAACAAAAGTATTTTCTGGTGAATTTCTTAATTAAATTTGTACAATTTTATCAAGTTATAGGTGAATAAATCGATAAAGATATCCTGATAAGCAAATGAGTATTTTTACAAGAACCTGCATTTCGACCCATTGTTCCTATGGTAGCCCGATCTGGCCGGCTTGAAAAATGTACTGCAGCAGAAAAAGACGGATCTATGCAATGCTTCTAGACGATAAGAACAGACAGGCGGAAAATAGACAGACGGACATGGCTATTCAGCTTGGCTGTTAATTCTGATCAAGAATATATAATTGATTGGGTCAAAGATGTCTTCTCCAATGCGTTATGCATTTCTTTGGCAGTCTTATAATACCCTCTACGTAGGTATAAACATTTTTATGTATTTAGAGATACTTTGCTAGATGATGAGCGAAAGATCAAAATAAATAATTCTTTTACCATTGAAATCCATTTACATACATTTGTTTAACTTTGACAATTTTTTTTATTTTTTGGGCAATCGGAAATATTTCACAAATAAATATTACAAACTTAAGCTGGTAATTTTTTGGAACCTGTTAACTATGCTATGTCAGCCCTGCTATAATATTATTGTTTATATTGGCACATATGAATATCAGCTAGCCACTTGCGTAAATAAATCCAAGGCAATACTTTTACAATTGCAATGTTAGTTTTTAATTTATTTGCTTTTAAGCTCAGTTTTATGAATCTGCGACATATTTAGTGCACAAGGAAGGTTACCGCTAGTTATTACTACCACAGCCAAAAGATTAGATAAGATACACTTTATCCTTAGAAAATTATCCGCTATAAGGATGATTAGGGTTAGGGAATGCTTATACATGTAAACGAGAAGCGAAAATAAGATGCCAAATTCGAAAAAGTAACTTGGCTATTATAAATCGAAATACATAAAAAACAAGCAATATTTCAGATCCAGCTGACAAATGCACTAACATTCATTTTTTTAACCAAAATCTGATTTAAAATAACATTAAAAAATCGCCAATTTCTTAATCAACTAGCATGTGCAAAACAAATCTTAAATATATATACATACATACACACATATATACATACACACATACATACATACATGCATACATACATACATACATACATACATACACACATACATACGTACATACATACATACATACATACATACATACATACATACATACCTACATACCTACATACCTACATACCTACATACCTACATACCTACATACCTACATACCTACATACCTACATACCTACATACCTACATACCTACATACCTACATACCTACATACCTACAAACCTACAAACCTACAAACATACGCCTCCTGCTCCGCCCCCTTGGTGCTCCTCCGGCTCCTCAGCTTCCAGTTTGAAGCCGCCTGCGCCTAATTCATAGGTGAAGCCTGCAAGCCTTACCTGCACTTTTGAGAATCGAGGAGGAGGGCAGCTTTAATAAATACGTTTTCTTATTTAATTTTGCAGCGCAACAAGACAAATTGGTCTGCTTTTGATATTTTATAAGAAATTTTACTATATAGACATACATACATACATACATACATACATACATATATACATACATGCATACATAAACACATACACGCATTCATACATTCATTCATTTGAACATGCATGGATGTGTATACACAGGCATACATTCATATATTCATACATGCATAGATACATACATACATATGTATATAAATACATATATACAAAATCAATTTGGCATCTAAATCTGGCAACATTATTGTTGGTCAAATTCATGTAAAATGGTATCTTAAAATAAATAAATAAATAACTCGGTCAAAATTCCACCGATTTTCATAAGGGTTGGCTCGTTGTTAATGGTTTGGCCTCTAGATCAATTTGGCATCTAAATCTGGCAACATTATTTTTGGTCAAAATTCATGTAAAAATAGTACCCTCAAATATCCTATATAGACATAGGCAAAATTTCTCACTCCATATCTCGATCAAGTCTTATCCGATTTCCAGGAGCTTTAGCTCTTTGCTTATTTATTTTATACGTACCACGGACAAGGCTGGGGTATACCCGCTAGAAAATCTATTCAGCTCTACAATAAAAAATGTGACGTAGTTCCTTGACCAAGCCGAAAATAAATTTTTGAATTTTGCTCAACTTTTAACAAGGTCCTGTTTTTATTACCGACAAATTGCGACGCTTCGCAGTTTTAATGACGCAATCCAGCAGGCAGCGATTATAGTAGATGACATTGTTGCTGCCACAAACCTACTCCTTGGTTTCTGGACATTTACAAACCAGCTCAATATCTCCAGTGGACTGGGTCACCCAACCTAATAGGCAGACAGCGATGAGAGCTAGGAGACGCATGTTGCTTTCAACCCGAAGGAGAGTTAGTTTCGATAAATCGTTTAATATTCTTGATAAAGCGCCATTGAATGTCTGAGCAGGTGTATAAATAAACGTATGTCAAGTGAAACCAAATTACCATATAATAGGAAAAACTAAATGGCCTGTCTGTAGACATTTATTTTCAAACACTTAATGAACATGCCGAAAGAGCAATAGGCAAACCAAATCTTAGAGACTATTTACTACAGAATATCTTGTAGTTGAAAGAAATTTGTAATCATGAATGTTATGAGGTGTGACTAGCCTTTCGACAAAAGAATTGTTATTTACATTCTGCGTCATATATGTAAAAATAATTAAAGACATTTGGAAGACGTTCAAAGACTGACTTGACTGGGAGTATCCAAAACCACTTGACTGTAGATGCTGAATATGAATATACATAATCAGTCGAAATGGTCACAGATGCCTGCTTACGTTTTTCAAAATAACCTTTTCACAAAAGTCACAGTATCTGCTAATCGATCGAACGAAGAACTTCTTTATTCAATGTACAATGTACATATATTTGTAGCTAAGTTTGCCTGACGTCCCCTTTGCAAAATAATAACGCAGTCATCTTGATAAAAACTTCCTGTGCATATAAGTCAATCGGATGTTAACTTTAGTTTGAATAAACTTTAGAATCGCAGCAATTGCAAATGAAGTATTCATATTATTTATTTGAGTATTTTGTATATAAACGTCATGCTGTTTGCTCAGTTTGTTGAAATTTTGGCTTCAACTCACCCAGCCCTGGCATAAAAATGTTATTATCAACTAGAATAATCAAAAAGAAAAATGTGCGAACAATTGATTAAACAAAACTCAGCAAAATCAACAAGTGACACGTGTCCAGTTTGCAATACTCGTAAAAATGTTTATTTCTCTTGAAGCTTCAGTTAAATTAGCATTATCCCATATCCGATATGGTTAAAGAATCTAGCAGGGTCCACTTCTGGCTTGAGCCAGTGAGCGGCCTTGACGAGTGGCACGCTTAGCGGCACAGCGCAGCTCACAGGGATTGGGATAGGTGGTGCCATCGGTGCCACAGACCTGCTCCAAATTGCGGGGACAGGCACAGATCTCCTCCTGATCGGCGGCAGCGGTGAGCGCGAACAAGGCCAACAGGCAGACGGCGATAAGAGCGAGGAAACGCATGATGATGATTAGAGCTGGGCGACTGGTTAGACAAGACTGAAGTTTCACACAGTCGCTGGCATTGTTTTATATTCGAATAGATAAAAGCCAAACACTCAACAACAGCAACTCAGCAAGCTGTCAGCCGTAAAGCCGTTTGGCTGAACAATCCAACGTCAATAATTAGGTGTAGAATAATTTGGAAAACAAAATCAGACAAAATATATTCAGCAAATTGTCGTGACATTTGACACCTTTCAATTGTAAACTATAAATAAACGATTGTCAATTGATTCTATTGTATAATCTGTTCAGCGTAGCGTATGCGCAATATGCAAACAATAATATTCTAGAAGTGCCTGCCATTGCTCAGAGCTTTTCTGAACACAATTTTGTAGCAGCTGTTGGCTTACGTCAATATGGTCCTAGCTGCCTGTAAAAGCTTTTAAGTCAAAGGACTGCCAACCAATGCAAATGGGGAGAGCACAAAAATATATATCAAAGAAGGTATTTTAACCTTAAATAAAACCAAAATTCAAAATATATATACACATTAAACATACTAACATTATTTAGCCTGATAGTAACAAGAAATTTGGGTAAGAAACAGTAACCTATTCGACTAGGAGACCCCCAAACCTTATACTATCAATAACATAAGCAGGCTGGCCGGGACAAGCTTTGCCATAAAATGACTTACTATGCGTTTTTATCCATATTCAATGGGCTTGGGTTATAATTTAAGAGTAAAGCATTGATAAAGAATGCATACGAATTCATTAGATATATTAATTTGGCACGTGAAGATATACAAATTACATTCGCAAAAGACCCCAAAATTGAGGCTTCAAAACTATTCGAGAAGCTATATATCACATTTGGTAACTTAAGTTTCTTCAAGTTAATTAATAGTCAAAAAATTAAACAGGATTTCGATCGATTGAAACGTTGCAAGTTATCGATCATTTAAAATGAACTCGATTACAACTTCGGCAAAATTTCTTTAGCACAGCTCCATTATACCCTTCTTACACATTTTCAATGGTTTCCAAGTCTATGTATAATCGATATATGTACATACATTTTGATAATTTTAATCAGTGAATAGTAAGTAATGAGTCATTAAAAAAACAAATAAAATAATTTTGAAATAATTAAAACGAGTGGAACTGATAAGCTATAAATATATATTAAACTGCATTGAAATGTCTGGGAAAGAAAAAAAACTTGTAGAATATAAAAATATTTATAATTATGTTATATTTATTATAAGATGAAATCTTATCACTTGTGAATATATTCAGATTTGTCTCAAGATAAGTTTTATGCTGTTCCAACTGCGCGAATTAATTATTTTAAAGCTTATATTTAGTAGCACACTAGTTTTAAGCTCGTATTTAAAGTCAAGGTGAAATTGTACAGCGTATAAAGTATATCTGACCTCTAATACAAAATATCTTCAAACAAAACCAGCTATGGAAGACAATTAAATAATCCAAATAAAATAACATTTTCAAATAAAAAATATTATTAATAATCTAGAGTCGTGAGCAAAGTCTGTGATGATATAACCGGAAGGTCCTTGAAATAACCAGGCAGATAACCTGTTAAATTGTGCTGCTTATACCTTGTTGTTTTTAGTCGTTGAACTCGAGCTAGATAGCTTGAAATTTAGTTAAACAAGTCACTAAAAATTTAAGCATTTAATACCAATTACTGTACTTTACCAACTGGACATGTAAAATTAAAAAGGGCAATATATATTTTAAAGCCCTAAATATATTTTTTAAAAATTTATTTGTAAACAAAAACTTAAAAATTGTGTATTCATTAAAGAATTGAAACAATTTGTTTATAAAGGAACTTAGAATGTTTGTGACGGCAAACTGGCGCTGGTTACAGGGTAGCTCCCAGTTGGGCACTTTCTTGATATGTTCAAATCGATTGTATTCAACCTATGCCATAAGCTCAGCTCAGCAACATACATAGTCATAATTTTGTCGTATTATCCTTATGCAAAGCTTATACAATAGCGTATACCCTTTTATACCTTCGGGCTATGCGATATAACAATACAAACTGTACCCAAGTTCGCACCCAAAAAAAAGGGCTTATTTATGTAAGGCGCATTTAAAGGCCTTTGGGCACTCAGAAATGTATGTGTATACATAGAAATGTACATGTTAGCAGGGCTATTTTGGGACCTGTTGAAAGGCCGTTCGTATACTAACACATAAGCGAATGAAATTTAAGAAAGGAAAAACAATTTCTAAAGGCTTTTTGCATATATTTTTTTGATGCTTACAGTTGCCAGCACGCCGGAGACTCTGCCAAGTAAACGTGAGGAGGCCAACGCCGGCGCAGGTGGCAGCAACAGCAGTGCGGGCAGCAGTGGCAGCAGCGGTATTGGAGCTGCGGCAAGCGGTGCTGGTGGTGCAGCATCAACGTCAGGCGGTGCCACTGAGCCAAATAACGGCGCACAGAGCCCCACAATCTGTGAGCTGAGCAGCAGCGGCGGCGCCAATGCGACAATAAATGGTCAAGTGGCAAGTAAGTAAACATTTCTCATAACAAGACATGGGTTGAAACAAGGGGCGTGGCTAGCTGTTACTGTCCGGAGGTCAACAATTTCATTTCCAAGTGGAAGCGAATGCATTCCTGCATAATTCAAAACCGTCAGCTGCAAGCAAAGCTTTTACGGATGTAGCCTTAAAGCACGCCCCCTACAGCCCCTACAGCCCCTACAGCCCCTACTCAGTTCCGCCCTCTCACCTGCGCGGGACAGGGGCAACATTCGGGGTACACTTTGTGTAGCTTTTGATTTTTGGCTTGCTGAGCTCATTAAAAACGTGAAGAGTAGCTAGTAAAAGTAACATAAAACATTTTGCCAGCCCCAAGCTTGAAAGTTAAGATCCGAGACCTGAAACTGGAGGCGCGATAAGCAGACAACAAGAGCAGCTCCTGAAACGATACCGTTAAGCGGAGGAATCTCGAGTGTAACATACATTTAAGTGCTGCATAAAAGCGAATTTTATGTTAGTGGAAGCAGCTACTGCTCCAGCTGAAGGAGATGGAGGTGGAGGTTTTCCCTACCTCCCTTTGCCGGCGGCGCTTGCACTGCCAAAATAAATGGAATGCAGTTAACAGACCAATGGGGTTGCCTTGTTGTCGTTGTCTTTGCCGGCTGCCAAGTTCGCCTCAAGAACTCAGGCACTCGAGATTTTCCCTTTGTTTTGGCCATGCTTATAGCTTATAGCTGTTATTCTCAACGCGTTGAGCTTAGCAAATAGATAAATCTTTTGCAATTTACTCGCTCGCAGCTAAGCATTCACTTCGATTTGCTTTTGCTAGTTAAAGGATGTGCGAGGACGTGCCAGGAGCAGCCAGCTGAAGGAGCCAACTCACCGGGTCGCTCGTTTAGCAGTTACATTTGCGCTTCGGGTTTAACTAAATGAAAAATTGTATGCCACGATGGCTTAAAGCCATTCTATAAATTGTTTACTTATTCTGAAGCATTTGGCTTGTAGGGCTTATGGATACAACTGCGTGTCAATAGAAATACTATTCGAATATTTATTAATATTCATTTCATATATGCAGGTAGATATTACATCGTCTACCAACTAGTCCTTAGTTCATAAACCATCCTGATGGAACTTGGCATAGATCCGTCCTTTCTTTTGGCAGTCTGTACAAATAAAAATTCGCAATACTCTTTTTAAAAGTATTATTTTCATCATTCGTATTCTTCTTGTTTTTATTATAGTTATTAGTCAAATTTTTTTAGCTTTATACTTCTAATATTTTGACTATTCTATAGTCAACATAAATCGAATGTTATCATTTTTTGCTTTCTGTAGTTTCTGTTTACACTCATTTGTGCTGCCTTTTTGATTTTGTTTTGTTCGTTGAATTTAAATTTAGGTTCAACTAATTTTTGGGCTTGGGCAAACTAAATTTAGTTTATGCTTCAGTAAATCGAAGTGTGTTTTGTCCAAGTGTCAACACATTTAGATGAAAGCAATCTAACCCATCTCACACTACTAACTGTCTTCGGTTTGTTGCTGTTTTTTTGCAGAACACGGCTCACTTACTATTGTACGGCGCTCGAATAGTCGCAAGAGCTTCTCACAGGCCGACGCACAATCTCAATCGATCGCCTCGCCCTCGGCGGCCAGCATTAGCTTCTTCCAGACACCACTTAGTGAGCCGCTCGCCGAGCGCCTTAGTGCTAGGGGCAGCAACGGAAGCGCATCCTCTACGGCCGCTGACAAACGCGCGGTAGATAGTCGCACTGAGAGCACGTCGAGGGGTCCGAACTCTGCCGGCAAAATGCAGCCCTCGTCGCCAAATCAAACGAATTTCGTAACCGATACGCCGCACATACCGTCGGTAACCGAGCGACCCACCTACGATCTCAGGATAAGTCGCGATACCATCGATTATCAAAATTCCATTAGCGGTCCAGTTGGTTCAATATTCAATCCACTTGTCGATCAATCGTCGCAGCGATCGTTAGAATCGGGCTCAAATATTTCGGTCGCCGATGCATGGGAAACGGAAACTTTGCCGCCTGTCGATACGCCAGATGCTCTCAACAAGGCAGCTGTCAGGTGAGTTCACGTATTCATACATATTCATACATATATTCTAATCTTAGCTATTTCAATAAATATCACGCGTCTGTCTGTCTGATCCACTTTTATATCACACGACACAATCCAACCAATAAAATGCTTAATTCTGTCATATTAAAACATAAATAGAAAATAAATATAATTAACATGTTCTATTTTTGAACTATAAAGATTTAGGTGTGGTCTAGCCGCGAGTGACCCAAAATCCAAATACTCTCTAACATAATACATTGTTTTTTCTGACCTACGAACCGACTGATCGTAATAGCTATAAAACTGAAATATTTAGTAGCTTCCCTATGCATCAATCTCTTGGTTGTGTCAAAGGTTCTACGGACGAAGTTTCAAGATTCGTCCGGAAAATACATTTCAAATTTTGAAAAGTACTTCTCCTGGGTGGAAAATGGAATTTAAAAGTTGTATGACCTAATGCTTAATTTAAAACTTATTTTCAAATATAAATTCAGAAGAGGGGATCAAGTGGACAAGAGAGTAAGGTCTAAAATGTGAATAAAAGCGTTAATAGTAATTCCCTTAAGCCAAAGATATAGAAAGCACTATAACCGCACGCTTACCTAAGATTCGACTCCGCACTTCGGTTTTGAAAATTAAAATTTCGTATGTTTCTGACCCGATAGCCAAAATTTCTGGTACAGAGTATAAAAAGTATGCAACAAAATTTTAATGCGCTGTAAATATACAAAACAAAAACTAATTAATTTAAGAAACGAACAAGAAATGTTTGTAATAGGTTTGCTTTTTAAAATGTTTTCGAAATCAATTCAACACTAATTTTAACATCTACTATTCCGGATAGTCGCAACAATAAGTATAAGCACAGATATATATTGAAAGTTTCCCTAATTCTCTAATTCGCATCAGTCCCAAAACAAATAGTAATCGTTTTTCCCCCTTTGCAGAATACGCAGTCTGCTGCGACGCATGGATCATGAGGCTGTCGCCTACGAGGATATGCAGCGCAATCTGCACTATGCGGCGCGTGTCCTGGAAGCAGTTTTCATAGACGAGTCAAGGTAGGTGCAAGTAATGTGTGTGTGTTGTTTTTGTACAGGACTTGAAGCTGTTTGCACTATTTTCTAACCAAAATCTAACCACGAACCGGCCAATAATTTGCTGGCGCTTTCGGGGATCGTACAAGCTATTGGTTCAGGCTTTAGCGTATTAGTAGGTTTCTCCGTATAGTGCTGCGTAGCTCGAACCTTAAGATAATTGAATTTATATTCGGATTGCACACAAAGGCAAGCTTCAAACCAGTTTCATGAGTTGTGTATTCCATCGGAGCTGTTACATACATACATACTATATACATTTATCATTATGAACTATCTATCACATACTTAGCTAACGACAAATTCTTTTTTCTTATTGTTTTCCGTTAACAACTTTCACACGTTTTATATATATATATTTTTTTTTCTTTTTATATATGTGTTTGTGTTTGAGCAGAAGCCCCACGTCAGGTAAAAGTAAATTGGGGCGGATTGCGTCTTCATCCGTTGAGAGCGAAGAGTAAGTCTTTATAGAGCAAACTTCAAAATTGGTTTGTCGTTAACTTTGTTAATTTTTTAACTCTCTCTCCCCTCTAAACCCCAACGCGCGCTCATTTAAACTAAAAACTTACCCAACTACCACAACTACTATTCTATTCATATCATCCCACTCTATCTCTCTCTCTCTCTCTATCTTATTCCTTAACTCTCTTGTTAACTCTTTAACTTTCTATCTCTCATACGTTGTAGTGCTATTTTCTGTTCTAATGTCAGTTAAACTGACTATACTCTACAATTATTGCCTTGTTTTACAGAATCGCAGCAAAGTTTATCATCGCCATTTCATCATGGTCTCATCTATCTCATACTATACACAAAATAAGTGTCATTTAATACAGAGAACGCGTGTATTTTAGCTAGTCTAGTCCAATTTACTACAATATGTTATTTACTACTGCGAATCGTGTGATATTCAAATGCAATCAGCACCGTATTATTGAAGAACTGTCTCACTCTATCTCTCTTTCAAATTCAACTAAGTTAACTCTCGGTGTATTTTTAATTGATGTCTCTACCTAGTATTTTTGAAGAGTTGGTCCTCTCGTGTTCGCCAGATGACATCTGTCTTCGAATCATCTGCCTTTACATTTCTTTACTCGTTACTCGCTAAACATAACTCGTTACTCTACGCTTGCTATAAAACCACAAATCTCTACGAATTATGTACTTTTTGGAAAAGTTTTCCCATACCTTTTTACATTTATTTTGTTAAGCCGAAAAGAGCATTTTGTTGCGCACACTGCATAATTATTGACCTCAGAAGGCCAAACTTTCAATTAAAAGCCCAAATTCCCAATGTGCCTGCCACTCGCAGTGCACATTTATTATGGGCTCTGGGCTCCATTTTACAGATACATTGTGTCTGGCTGCATTCGCCATAAATTATTCACAACATCATGACACGATTGTTCGATTTACATAACCAAGTGTGGGTGGCACACATGGGTGGGTCAACAGCAAACAAAGTTTCGCTCTCAACTCGCCCGACAGTCAAAATATGCAACACTTTTTGCCAGCATTGACCCAACGACCTGTCGAACACTGTTTGCTTGGCGACGAGTGTTTGTGTCCGTGTGCTTCTCGTAGCTTTGCTCAACTAATCCACTCGCTTTAATTGACTTAAACCCCAGCAAAAAAAAAAAAAAACAAAAAAAAAAAAATACAATAAAACAAAAACTGATGTTCTATTTATTTTTTCTTTCTATTGCCAACCATATTTTGAAAATTCACATAAAATCATGAAAATAAAAACTAAAAATATTATAAATGAACACGAATATGCCAAACAACGAACCGTACCATAATTTGTTGTCTGTACCGGTTCGCTTTTACTCACTGCCAACTGCTGTGCAAAAAAACACTTGACCACATCCCGACCAACTACGCTCCGGCCCAAACAGCGATGCTGCCAGCAAGCGCTGCGATGGCAACTGCAAGAATCTCAACAACAACAACAAAAACAGTAGCTGCAGCCTGCACTCAGCGGCGGCGGAGGAGACAACGCCATCGGCAACTGACTCCGAAAATCAGACGAGTATCGAGAGCCGCACAAATGACGTTCCCCTTACTCCGAAAAGTGGACTAATAGGGCCGCCGGCAGCCTCTGACACTCAGGACTTGGTGGTAGGCAAAACACTTGAAACTGTCGCCGAATCCGTGCAAGAGGAGCAAACGCCAGCGGCCACAGCAACAACAGCGACGACAACAATGACGACGACGACGACAACAACAACAACAACTACAACAACAGAACCAAGCGATGCAACAAGCGGCGCTGCCGCGGGTCAAAGTGTTTCCAGCAGTAGCAGTTGCAGTAATAAAGCGACCGTTCAGCGACAAAGACGCCTGCGCACACCAGTCTGGGCGAGATCAATGTCGACGAATAAAACGTACTTGCAAATGGTTTATACTGCATAAATTAGCGTAATTTTGTATGCATTTTCAGTTATTGTACAATATTTAACGTTTAAGTTGCCTTTTACGTTGTTACGTTACGTTAACCAACACAGATACAACAACAACAAAAACCAAACAACAACAATTAGAAAACGTTCTGTCTCTGTCTGTCTTTCTCAACTATATCCAACTTCTGTCTGTATACTACTTGATACTTGTCTGCGTTTCCTTTCTACTTGCTGTATATATTGACTTGATACTGTCCCTTATTACACGTATATCACTTTAACTTTGTAAATAAATATGAATCCACTTTTTGTACATCCATTTTATTCCCTCTTTCTACGCTCTCTGTAATACCTTGACCCTTTGTGTTGCATTTTGTACACTCTTAAATAAGTAAATACATACATTTGGAACATGCATATTTGTAAATTTTTGTTCACAGTTAATATTATGGCATGTGATTGTCCTCTCCATATTTTTTCAATGTTTTCACAAAACTAATAATTGTTCAATTGGCTTGCGCATGTGTAAACTAAGTTCGCGCGTTTTTTATCGAGGAAGGTATCGAAACTATTGGGCTGGGGCTAATTTAATTTTCACGCGATGTGTACATTATCGACACTCAGAGCGCAACTATCGATATCGCATATGTTGATTAACAGCGCAATGTTATACAATATACCAGCGCTATACCGATCGCGTGGTGGCAACGCTGCGCGTGTATCTTGCCGCCAAAAGTGTAGGAAAACACTCGTGTTGTTGCTCAAATTTCTTGCAAACAAGATTAATTGTTTATTATCGTTTGGCTGTGTGTACCGAGTTTGTGTTAAAGTGTCATGAGCAGCGAAAAAGTGAAAAACGACAACGAGCCAGATGACTCGGACGATTCGTGCGGCGTAAGTTGAAAATGCAAATGGCAGCAGAATTAATAGCAACAATTTCCGCACACCGCAACACATGCAGGACGAATCGGCTAGCTTTACCACAAATAGCACCACATCACGAAGCAAATCGCCGGCATCCAGCACTCGCAGCAAACGACGCGGCCGGCGCAGTCACAAATCAAAGCCAAAAAGCGGCGCGGCCTATAAATACGAGTAAGTTGCACTCCAAAGAAATTAATGCTCAAGTTGATGCAAAATCTACTTCAAGCACACATGTAAAGGAGAACCACGGTGCAAACATATTTGGCGTGTCGTTCAACACGTTGCTCGGCAAGGACGAGCCGCAGGTGTTTGCCACAGCGGGCAGCAATCGTTGCACCGTTTACGAGTGTCCACGCAAGGGCGGCTTGACGCTGCTGCACTGCTATGCAGATCCGGATGTAAGTAGCAGTCATTTGCCCGAAACTAGACTTGCTGTACCAATGCCAAATTTTACATTAATGCCAGCCCGATGAGGTCTTTTACACCTGCGCCTGGTCATACGACTTAAAATCGTCTGCCCCGCTGCTTGCCGCCGCTGGTTACCGCGGGGTCATACGCGTCATTGACATTGAACAGAACGAGGCGGTGGGGAACTACATTGGTCATGGCCAGGCGATCAATGAACTCAAATTTCATCCACACAAGCTGCAGCTGCTACTCTCTGGTAGCAAGGATCATGCCATACGTTTGTGGAATATACAGACGCATGTCTGCATAGCAATTTTTGGCGGTGTTGAGGGTCACCGCGATGAGGTGCTTTCCATTGATTTTAATATGCGCGGCGATCGCATTGTAAGCAGCGGCATGGATCATTCACTCAAGCTATGGTGCCTTAATACCCAGGAGTTTCAACACAAGATTGAGCTGTCACAAACGTTCAGCCAAGAGAAATCGACTCTGCCGTTTCCCACAATTACTAAGCACTTTCCGGACTTTTCAACGCGTGATATACATCGCAATTATGTGGACTGTGTGCAGTGGTTCGGCAATTTTGTGCTTTCCAAGTCCTGCGAGAATGCCATCGTCTGCTGGAAGCCTGGCCAACTGCATCAGAGCTTTGAGCAGCTAAAGCCCAGTGATTCCTCCTGCACCATTATCGCCGAGTTCGAATACGATGAATGTGAGATATGGTTTGTGCGGTTCGGTTTCAATCCCTGGCAAAAGGTCATCGCTTTGGGCAATCAGCAGGGCAAAGTCTATGTGTGGGAGATGGATCCTAGTGATCCGGAAGGCGCACACATGACTACGCTGCACAATTTGCGGAGCGTCGCCACCGTGCGTCAGATAGCCTTTTCGCGGGATGCCAGCGTGTTGGTCTATGTGTGCGATGATGCAACCGTCTGGCGCTGGAATCGACGACATGCAGCCGCTCTTTAAGAACCGCATTCATAGATACAGACACACCACAACCAAATCTCACGTGGCCAAAATCAAGGCACAACGTGAATATTTGTGCCTAGTTCCTAGTATTAACTTGTTAGTCCTTTCCTCAAATAAACCAATTATCTTATTATGGTAGGTTTTGTGAATTAAAGATTATTTCTTTTAAGCCTTTATAAAAAATTACTCCGTGCATCGCGTTACCTGCTACCTTACTCAGGGCTAAAAATATACCGTAGAATCAAAACAATCCGGAGACCCACATTCGACTCGTTGTAACATCTTCACATTACCATTGATATCACTTAAGTATAGCATAGCCATCGCGAACATAACGTAAATCTCCATTACACGTGACCTTCCCATTAGTAATTTAATTCACCCAGCAACCCACCTAGTAAGTAGTCCGCCAGGTAATTGAAAACGCAGTCAACTGCATCCACCGATATCCGGAGAGGCAAAGCAATCGCAACCAACGCCATTTTCCACTGACTGCAAAACATAATTAGTGTGCAGCTTAAACGCGTTGGGGTGGCTTTAAGGGCGGCGCTCAGAATCTGTCCCCAGTTGGCCATTTCCTAATCGGGTCGCAGAGCAAACGGTGGCACAACAAACGAGCTGCAATTGACCGCCATTTATATGCGTTGCTGCACTTCGAGCAGCGCTGCAGCGAAAGAGATGAGTGAAATAAATACGACGAAATTGAAACTGCCAACAAAGACTCGACTCGGTTCAAGCAGGCAAGAGCCTTAACAGCTCCCATCGGACCTATTACGCAGCAAAGTCCCACAACGATCCGTATGCTCTTGCAGCAAAGAGAACATGTGGAAAAGTATGATTAGTTTGAAAAATTTGACTTTTTTAATACGTATAGCAATTCTGTAATGTAATGAAATGTAACCTCTGGATTTTAAATTATTCCTGATATACGAGCTGTGCTTATAAATGAAATTGTGCAAACATGAAAATGCCAAACTAAATGTATATTTGATAAGCTTGTCATTTAAATACTGCTGCAAGAGTATTAAATGCGTTGTCGAGGCAAATATTTACTTACTCATTGTCTTTTTGCATCTCCTTTGTTCAACGTTCGTTGCGCCTGCACAGTGGTGACATTGTTGTTGTGTTGTTTGAAATCCTGCCAAGCAGCAGCCACTGTCCAGCCCCAGAGCGCGCCATTTGGATGTGAGTAATTGGCCGCGTTTGGCGGCGACGGCACATTTGGTTGCCATTGGTATTTTGTTGTCAATTGAGTTTTAGCCTTGGCACGCAAAGTCATCGAATGGTCGGGATTGGGCGAGTGCCGCTCATTGCCCGACTAATCCCAGACATTTACCACTATTCTTTTTAATTGGTTGCACACTGTCGGCTGTCCGGAGAGCTTATCCCTCACTACAGATCGTCTAGCGGTGCGACGTTGCCGTCATTTGTTTCGTAACGTTAACAGTTGATTTCTTTGTTGATTGTTTATCGTTGATGTCGTTGTTGTTGTTGTTTTCATTTAGATGCAACTCATCCACCCAGTCTTTATCGTCCTCCACTGATACCGTTTGTCGCAGCAGCTCCACGCATGTGCTCCGATATGCCCGACATAGCATAATCAGCATCAACGATAGCAACAGCAGTAAACGAATCATACGCTCGCGGTTTGTCCTTACTCTCTCTCTCTCTCTCTCTGTCTCACTCACTCACTCAATCTCCTTCTAGCGGGGTCTGTATTATTTTGTTGCTGCACTCGTCAAAAATACAATTACCCGCACCCGCACCGCAACAGAGCACCATAACAGTCATTCCACAATGATTTGTGTCTTTCAACTCTCTCGCACTCTATTACTAAGCACTTGTCGGCCAAAAATTAATCAAGCTACCGCCGCAGGACAAGTCACTTGTGGGGCGTCTCCAGTCACTAGAATTCCGTGTTAAACATGTGCGGATGACACCAAAAATTAGTTTAGCATGTCATTTGTCGGCGCGGTCGAAGCGCCGACATTGCCACCGGGCTCAAAAATCTTCGTTTAACGGCATTCCCTAAGCCGCTGGCGGTGCGAGTAGGCCTAATGTTCCGTTAGCTGTTAAAAGCGAAACATAATACATACCCATTTACAAAATATGAAAATGGAGGGACACATTGTCAGCACGGCTGCCACTTGGTACAAATGTACCAAAATTGGTCATTTATATAATCCATGGTACTACAGTGGATCTCCCTGTTGCGTTACATCTTAACATTTTGAGCAAATATTTAAACCTTTGAATGTCGTTTTCCGAATAACAATAAATTTACGAGCTCTCGTAACATTAAAATAGTGGTATTTTTTCATTAAATTTGGTACATTTTTTTTATTTGTTGTAAATTGCACTGTTCGTTGTAAAATTGTGCTGCCACCTATCTACAGTAATGTCCCACAAAGTGTTCCACCTTCCAAATTGGCTTATCAGAAAGTTTGCTGACGCAACTTTTCGAATTGTTTAATTATGATAAAAAAATAATAAAATTCACTAAAAAGAAATCACAATTTTTGTAAAATCTGACATAGATATAAAATTGTACCCTAATATGTCTATATGTATTTTTGTATGTGGCCGAGGCCTCTTGTTGTTGCCGTCGGTATCAATTGTACAAAATTCACAAATTAAATGCCATTTGCGGCTTCATTCATGCCGATAAGGTGGAAATCATT